AGTTTGAAGAGCTTGTGACGTTACAGTTAAAGTTCTAAATACTTCATCACAAGGGAAATTAGTCAAGCACTCTGAAAGTGTTTTCACTCTTTTTCTTTTTTTAAATACATTTTATTGATTTTTTTTTTTTTTTTAATTACAGAGAGGAAGGAAGAGGGATAGAGGGTTAGAAACATCGATGAGAGAGAAACATGGATCAGCTGCCTCCTGCACACCCCCTACTGGGAATGTGCCTGCAACCAAGGTACATGCCCTTGACCGGAATCGAACCTGGGACCCTTGAGTCCGCAGGCTGACACTCTATCCACTGAGCCAAACCGGTTACGGCAAGTGTTTTCACTCTTCATGTGGTGTACAGGGAGATATTAGAATAAGTTTAATCACTTTATCAGTCATTGTTTGCATCACTGTTGTTTTTATATCATGTTTTTGTCTTTTATATCATGCCTCTGTTGTTATATCCTTTTGTTACTGTTTATTTATTAATAAATTTATATATTATTTTCATATACATTTAACTAATTTCCTTTCATCTCTCACACTTCTATTATAGAGAAAGGGCAAATAGCAATATTAAAATATCTCCACTACTTAATTCCCTTTAAAAAAATATATATTTTATTGATTTTTTATAGAGAGGAAGGGAGAGGGATAGAGAGTTAAAAACATAGATGAGAGAGAAACATCGATCAGCTGCCTCCTGCACACTCCCCACTGGGGATGTGCCCGCAATCAAGGTATATGCCCTTGACTGGAATCGAACCTGGGACCCTTGAGTCCGCAAGCCGATGCTCTATCCACTGAGCCAAACTAGTTAGTGCAATTAATTAATTCCCTTTTAATGTGCATGAATTTTGTGCACCGGGCTACTAGTATTTACATAATATCTTTTATTAAATTTTGACAAGTTTAGCTCTTTGCTGTTAGGAGATTCAAATTAAAGTTTTTCTTTCCAGTAATAATAGTTTTTGTGAAAAATGTTAGGCATATATACAGAGGGAGTCTTTAAGACCTGAATTAGTTCACGTCGGTGTAAGTTCAAGTAATTGCAAATGTGTGTAAAGATAAAACCTAACAAAGCTTGTTATGGGAATGGCTTTCATTGCAAAATGCTGTCTTCATGTTAATATCCTTTAGCTACTTTTTTGAAGGCTAGATATTATAAACATTTCTGTGTTTAAAAGTTGTTTTGAAATTCAATACTATTCCAGATCTTTGAGTATTGGTTTAAAAAGCTGAATTGTTTCTCAAATTTTTAGTATGAGTGATATTTTTGAGGAAGGAGCTACCTCAGGTATTAATACGCATTTAAAGATTTTTTTTTCTCTTTAGATAAATGATGGCATTTCCCAATATTTTCAATATCTTCCCTGATTGTTTAAATACATATATATATATATATATATACATATATATATATATATATATATTATTTCAGAGTGGAAGGGGAAGGGAGTGAGAGATAGAAACATCAATGATGAGAATCATTGATTGGCTGCCTCCTACATACCCCGCACTGAGGATCCAGCCCACAATCTGGGCATGTGCCCTGATTGGGAATTGAACTGGTTCGTAGGTTGATAACCACTAAGCCATGACAGCTGGGAACGGTGGAACTACTGGTCACTGACACGTACTGACCGGCAAGGGGCAGACACTCAATGCAGGAGCTGCCCCCTAGTGGACAGTGCGGTCCAACACGGGGAGTGCTGCTCAGCCAGAAGCCCTGAGCCAGGCTCATGGCTGGTGAGCACAGCGGCAATGGTGGGAGCCTCTCCCACCTCCATGGCAGTGCTAAGGTTGTCCGGACTGCTGGTCAGGGAGCGGGCCTAAGCCAGCAGTTAGACATCCCCTGAGGGCTCCTGGACTGCGAGAGGGCACAGGCCAGGCTGATGGACCACTCCCCCCTCGAGCACGAATTTTGTGCACCGGGCCTCTAATACTATAAGACCCTGTGACTAGGCCAAATTCTATATTTTTCTTTGTAGTACTTGTTTTGCTTGCAAGTTTACATTTGTCTTTTGATTGTTTGATTAGTGTCTGTCTTTCCCATAGACTTTATATTTCATGATGGAAAATACTGTGTATTTTTTCCTTTGCCAGTGTATCCCTAGTTCCAAACCTTGGGCTTGATATGTAGTAGGTGCTCAATAAATATGTCGAATGAGTGAGTGAATGAAAAGAATTCTCTTAACACATTGTTTGCAGGTAGTTTTTATCGCGCGTGCTAACAGGTGGCGCGGGCCATTTTTGCAGTTGAATAGATTGATTACCGTTATACCTGGAAGTACATACATAATTCACCATTGTATGTGTTAGAGACCCAAATTTTGTCCTTTGGAAGTCGTATATCTGCATGTTAGCATCCCTTTAGAGCAATAAAAAAGTATAAAAATAAACGTATTTATACGTTACCCACATTCTACCGCTAGTCTATAGTCTACGTGTCCCGCGCTGTACTACCAGTCAACATAAAACGTATAAATACGTTTCCCGCATACAATGTGTTAAGTGGTGAGTATTCATTGATCCTTTAAAATAAAATTCATTTTTATAGAAATTAATTTATATAGTCTTTCTTAGAGTTACAGATATTACATAAATTAATTGCCTATAATCTTGAATGGCACAGAATGGAATTTTTAAAGCAGTTACTATTCTAGAAATACTTTATCGGCAGCTGGTAACCAAAATCACAAAACGATCCAACATTGCAAAATTTTATTACCCTTCTGGACAGTCTCCAGTTTACCGTGGGGTCACAGATATCAGTGACACTGCTTCCTATTACTTTTTTCCTTTTATCTCTTATCTATATACTCTGATACATGAGCCATTCACGTAAGCTCCCAAACCTCTAGTATAACTGAATGGGTAGTGTAGTAAGACTTTTATTGTATATACAAAGTGTTTATTGAAAGGAGCTGATCCCTGAATATATGTATTATCTTTTATAGTTTTTATTTTTATTATAATTTATGTTTATTATTCCACAGTTATATCTCTTTATGGTAGCATTTTTTTTTATATTAGATCACTATTTTCAGTAGACTTCTTAAAATAGTTTTTAAGTTTTATTCTTTGTACTGGTATTTTCCCCTCTTCTCTTAAAACAAATTGAGTTTATATATTTTAAAAAATTCTTTATTGTTGGAAGTATTACATATGTCTCCTTTTCTCCCCATTGACCTCTCCCAGCCCTCTCCTGCCCCTTAGCACAGGCCCTCACTCCCCTATTGTCTGTATCCATTGTTTTTGCTTATATGTATGCAATTTTTTTTTATTATTATTCTTGTATAAAGGCCACACTGAAACTAGTGTTTTGTCTGTGGCTATACATCTGTTTATTTTCTTTATTTTATTCTGTTTATGTTTTTAATGTTTTTTGTTTGTTTAGACTTTATTGTTGCTTCACAATATTCACATTAACAGGCATTTTAGTTACTGTAAGAAATGCAGTTTTGTGTGAAGCCCTTGTCATGTGCTAAGTTATCTTTTTCTCGTCCTAGTATGTCACTTTTGGTTTTGCTAACTTGCCACTGACTGCGTCTCTTTCTTCACTTTCTTGTGCATTCATTGCTAGGATTTTTCAAATCCTAGCAGCTCCTGCATCTCTTGTATTTGAGCTCACGATTGCTGCTTAAAAATAATTTGAGATTATTTTAGAGCCAGGCAGTCTAATAGAAGAAAGCCACTTTTTATATGTCATAACATTTGATAAGAGGGAAAGTTGGAAATGTCACTATATAAACAGAAATGTTGGGAATTACAGAAATTTAGTTAAAAAATATCAAAATAGCCCAAAACAGTCAACTGCAATTTTATAGCTGGTAACCTTAGCTACCATGGACTTAAAGGTGATTCACATTAATTACAGCATAACTTGATGCATCAGAGTATGCTAAATCAAGCAATAGAAGGAAAATTTGCTTCTAGATTAGCTAATCTTCCAACTGTTGTCATCTTTGGGTCTTATATATGTTGGTGTGACCTTCTACTTCCTGCTTCTTTGGATATGTATGTGGAAAGAATATGAGACTTAGTATGAAAAAGGACTAATTGCAAATCCTTACTGCTTTTGTTGCTAGCTGCTTACTAGTAACTTTGGGCAGATAAATTTTGTTTATTTTTTATTTTCATCTACTTCATGCGAAGTATGATATATGAAGACTTTATGTCATAGAGCTAGTAAGTGGCTAATTTGCTTATGATAGATAATATTTTACTGCACTAAAACATGCCTGGATGAGAAAAAGAGGGTGTGCAGGTTTCTTTTAATATATATTAACTTTTGACTGTTTACAAAATTGTTTTGGTCATTATATAAACGTATGTTTTTGAGCATCAGCTGTACTGAGCAAGGGGAATATGGTATTTAGTTGGGGAGGCAGGATAGAAGCATAAGGAAGATAAACAATCACACAGGATAACATTTATTGTCAGATGCTGGAGGAGATTAGTAGAGGGAATGATTATGGAGAGCTGGTTTGGAGGCTGCCATGATGAAGGGAATTTAGATAAGCAGAGAGGAGGCTGGGAATAGCCTTCTACTTCACTGTAAAATGGAGATAATACTTGCCTCATAGGATTGCTATAAGAATTCAGTGAAATACAATATCTTTAAAGTATCTGTGCAGTGCTGCATGACACATAATGTAATTGCTATTTTTGTTACTCTTCTAGACTGAATATAGTGTGGTTCCTTCTGTCATCTTTAAAATTGTTCCTTCCCAGAAGCCTGACTTTCCCTTTAACTAGGAGATAACACATAGTTTTCATCTTAAATAATAGCTGGTTACCTGAAACATAATGTTTAAAAAATTCTGAGTCCATACTTGGCTTAAGCAGGAAAGAATATGATCAATTAGTGATGCGAAGTCAGGTGTAAGGTGGGCTGGAAGCCAGGAATGGTGGTATATGAGTTGTTGGAATAACAGTATGTAAAGCAAGTATTTATCATCAGTACCTAAAGTCCCATTATTGCCTATCTTTTTTTCTAGCCTTCCTTTCACTATTTCACTCTACAATAGAAACTGGTAAGTATTCAGAAGTAGGGTGCCAAATTTGTCTCTATACTTCTGGTTACTCAGTAAATATTTTTTGAATGATTAAGTGAAGAAAATGTTAGCCTCAGAGTAGATAAGATTCTGAGATATGATCCCAACATTTAAAAATACTTTTATTCTCTAAAGCTTAAGATCTCAATGTGGTTTACTTTTATCAGGTTATTTTCCTAATGGAAACCACCCACGTGAGACAATGAGAATCTTGATTAAGGAAGAGATGGGCTGGAACAGAAAGGGGCAGTTTTTATTAGGCAAGAGGTTGGCTTTCAGCTTTGAGAAGGGTGGGTGCCAGGAATGGGGTAATAGAGTTTCAGGCTGGTACAAAAAGGGGAAAGTATGGTGAACATAAATGACATTTTAATATTAACAGTGGTAGGTGTATACTGTACTTGTAAAAACACTAGACAATTTTCTTCATAGTCTTACTTTCTGCTCCATTCTCTAATATTCTATATGCCCTATTTTCCACTCCTAGAAACAGTATTATAATATTGCCTTTGACTGTCCAGGTTGGCACTTGAGTTTTGACCTTTCTCATTCCCCCATCTTTACTCACTTTCCTGGTACTCACCTTTAATCACCTTCTTTTATTCTACTTCCCTTTGCTTATTTTCTTTTATTTTAGGAACACAGGTGGGTATTCTAAACCTTTTCAGGGTACTATTAATAGGTGGAACTACATTATCATACCATAACTGACATTCTTCTGAAAGAACAATAGTGGATGCAACTCTTTTCTTGCACCTAATTTTCCATAAGAAAGGGTCTTGGCTTCAGAAAGAAGGGAAGGAGTAGGAAAATGGATGGTGAGAAAGTGATGTTACAAAATTTTTAGTGGCTGTCCTTTCCTATGTTTTTCGTTGTTGTTAATCCTCACCCGAGAATATTTTTTCCATTGATTTTTAGAGCGAATGGAAGAGAGGGTTAGAGTCAGAGAGAAATATTGATGTGAGAGAGACACATTGATTGGTTGCCCCTCCAGGGATTGAACCTGCAACCAAAGTATGTGTCCTTGACTGGAATCAAACCCTCGATCCTTCAGTCTGTGAGCTGATGCTCAACCACGGAATCAAACCGCTAAGGCTGTCCTTCCTACTTTATAAAAGTTCTTTACCTTTGAGTAATGTGGATAAAGGTTTGGTTTTTATAAAACTGTTTTGTTTATTAATTTACTCTGTTTAAATAATCCTTAAAATTCATGAAGTGAGATTGCATATTCTTGGCTACACTATCTTCACTTTTAAAAATGGATTTAATGTCTCTAGTTATATGATTTTAATTTATAATTTTTAAAAATATATATTTCTGAACCTTGATGTTCAACTATATTTAAAACTCTTCTTTTCGTTTTGGAGCCAGGGAATAGAGTAGGAGGTACAGAGATGCTTTAGGCTTACTGCAAATACCAAGTAAATGGAAATGTCCACTACTTAACAATGGGATCACTACAGAAAGATCTGATTGTAGATCAGAGTTATCTTTGATGTCAACTTGAAAGCAGCCTTTCATATGCCTATTTCCTTTTTATTTAGCGTTTCAGTTTGACATGGTCACGGTACCTATTCTATAACGAATTCTGTTTATAATTACCAGTATATATAGGTTAGGGCCGTGGTCGGCAAACTGCGGCTCGCGAGCCACATGCGGCTCTTTGGCCCCCTGAGTGTGGCTCTTCCTAAGCCTTAGGAGTACCCTAATTAAGTTAATAACAATGTACCTACCTATATAGTTTAAGTTTAAAAAATTTGGTTCTCAAAAGAAATTTCAATCGTTGTACTGTTGATATTTGGCTCTTTTGACTAATGAGTTTGCCGACCACTGGGTTAGGGCAAAAGTAGGTTTACAGTTATTTGTAAGGAAAATAATACAATAATGAATAAATATTAATACAAGAATAAACTCTGGGTTGTGCATACTCACAACTACTTTTGCCTCCCCAGTATGCTAAGGGTTATGCCTGAGCTCTCTATTCTATTCCATTGGTCTGTTTGTCTGCCTGATGCCAGTACGCACTGTTTTGATTACTGTAGTTTTATTGTAAGTTTTAACTCAGGAAGTGTGAGTCCTCCAGCTTTGTTCTTTTTCCAAAATCGACTTGCCTATTTGGAATCCCTTGATTTTCCATATGAATTTCAGGACAGATTTTTCTATTTCTATAAAAATGTTATTGGGATTTTGAGAGAGGTTGCATTGAATATGTATGCTTTGGGTAGTATTGACATCTTAACAATATTAAGTATTCCAGTTAGTGAACATGATACATGTTTCCTTTTATTATGTCTTCTTTGTTTCAATAATGTTTTGTAGTTTTCATTGTACATTTTAAAGAGTTTTCACTTCTTTGGTTATGTTAATCCTTTAGCATTTGATTTTTTGGTGCTCTTATAAATAGAATTGTTTTCATAATTTCCATTTCAGATTGTTCATTATTAGTGCATAGAAATGTAACTGATTTTTGTGTGTTGACTTTGTATCCTGCTACTTTGCTGAATTCATTTATCAGCTTTAATTGTGTTTTTTGTGTGTGTGGAACATTCAGGGTTTTCTATGTGTAAGACTAGAGGCCCGGTGCATGAAATTCATTCACGGGTGTGGTCCCTAGGCCTGGCTGGCAATCAAAGCACGAGCATCATGTGTGGAAGGGCAGGTTCCAGCTGACCTCAGGGCCCTGGGCAGCTCCTGGGCCCTCAGGACCTCGCGTGCCCCCCTCTGCCTGAGTCATGGTGCCTGAGTCCCCATGTGGAGATGCGGTGAGCATGGCTGGATGCCACGGGCCGGGGCACAACGTGGGCTTCTGGGCCACTCAGTGGTGCCGCACAGAAGCCGGGTGGGCAGCGCACTCTCTTCCAACTGGCCTTGCAGACCAGCTCCTGCACGAACCCATGGGGAGCTTGACCAGCCCCTGCGGTTCCAGTGGCTGTGGCTTGGCTCACCCGGAAGATGCCGTGTGGATTCAGGGTGGGCTCCTTGCGGGTGCGTGGCACCTGAGTGCGGGTGCTTCCCCAGCACGTGAGCCCTGGTGTCTTGGGGGAGGGTAACGGGGAGTGAGAGCAAGCTTGGTGGACACCCTGCATTCTCACCACACCTCCATCCCAGGCACCCCCACCCCCAGGTAGCCAGCGAGAGGTTGCAGTGCATTGCCGACGCCCACCATATTCTGTGCCCGCCCTTGGTGGTCAGCACATGTCATAGCAAGATGTCGAATGACCGCCCAAGGGGACAATTTGCATATTAGGCTTTTATTATATAGGACTAGAGGCCTGGTGCACAAATTCGTGTATGGGTGGGGTCTCTTGGCCTGGCCAGTGATCCGGGCCAATCGGGGCTGCGGGAGGTTGGCTGAAGGGAGGGGCCATGGGAGGTTGGCCAGTGGGGGTGGGGGTAGAGAGGGACTGCGGGAGGTTGGCTGGCCATGGGAGCTTGGCTGAAGGAGTGCACTGACTACCAGGGGGCAGCTCCTGTGTTGAGTGTCTTCCCCCTGGTGGTCAGTGTGCACCATAGCTTATGTACATGGATTATATCATCTATGAACAGAGAGAACTTGACTTTTTCCTTTTCAACTTGGATCCCACTTATTTATGTTTCTTTCCTAATTTGTCTGGCTATAACTTTCAATATTATGTTGACAAGAAGTGACCAAAGGGGATATCCTTTTCTTTTTCTTGTTCTTAAAGTGTGATGCTTACTGTGGACTTTTTATTTATGTTTTTTATTATATTAAGGTACAAAATAAAGTTTTCCTACTTTTTGGTGTTTGTATACTTTTCAAATTCTCCAAGTAAAGAAAAAATAAGAAATAGGGAGAACTGATTAGATGAGTTTGTGTGTGCACATGTGTGTAAGCATCCTAGATAAGCATATATATGTAATCTATATATGTGAACCAAATTGATGGACAACATTATTTATTGAGGCTATTTTTTAAAGCATATGTATGTAACCTATGTATCTATATATGTGAACAAAATTACTGAACAACATTATTGAGGTATTTTTAAAAGCATATTTGAAAATGCTAGATGAATTGTTCTCAATAAAACAATATCTCAACCATTTTTAGAAGTTACATCTATTCGAAGTATTAGTTTTATGCTTGACAAATGTTTAAACTGTTGTAAATTGAGATGAATTAGTTGGAGGTTAAAAGAGCAGGAGTACGAGTAGTCTATTTGTATTTTAATTTGGCACTCTTTGATGAGAACAAATCATTATGTTTATATATGACTCTTCTCAAAGAGATTTTTTTTTTTTTAATTTCAGACAACCTAATGAAGCCTCTTTTGAATTATGGTATTGCTTGGTGAGCATATCTTTTTTACTTTATACTTCTTTTCAGAATACTGTTGATTAACTTATGTAAATTAGTTGTCTTTTTGATTTACTGTTGTAGTATGTCTATGGGCTTCCTGGTTGAAGAGACTGCACCAGTTGTTTGGAGAGGCCTTATGGTAATGTCAGCCATTGAAAAACTGTTGAGGCAGGTAAGAAACTTGCATTGAGTATCATTTTATCATCGGCACACTGTGGTTAATGCGGCTGCTTATTGGAGAGCTGTTAAAATTTGCATTTAGGTTTCAGATGTTTTGCAAAAGAATCCAGTTGATAAACTGAATTTATAATGAGTTATGTGGCGACAAAATCAAATTTCACTGTTATGTGATTTAATCTCCCCCATTATTTATGAGTACTAAAAACCCAATGTCTTATTTTATATTGTTCTGTTGCTCTGTTGAGGCTGCATAAGATGGGGAAATCTATTTTATAAGTAATCTGCCTTCTTCAGATTTATGGTTAATCTCATTATGGCCAGTATGAGTTATAAGGGCAGTGCAGAAATTACTCAGATGTAGAAAAAATTATATAAGCTATACTGCTTCAGAACAAAATAAAATTTTGTTTTACCCTGAGTACATATGGCTATATATTTGTGTATATAATATCTGCCCAATCAACTTCAATTAATTCTTAAGGAAGAGAACAGTTGAGTGGATTATCTAAAACTAACAGAAGGGCTATATGTTATTTATAGGAATAAATTTTATTCTTTTTCTTAGTAGCTGTGAATTTATTAGTTAATTATATTCTAGGAAAATGTAATAAGTAATTTGGATTTTCTCCACCTATTTATAGCAGTTACTTCATATTCAGATTTTACTTTGGGTCAGGTACTATGCTATACGTTGACAATTCTAATCATAGATATTCCTTGTATGTATTCATTATATATATAATTATTTCCAGTTGTGAATCAAGTAGATGAAATATGTCTTGAATTCTGAAACTCTTCTTTTTTCATTGTAACATCATGTCTTTCTTCTGCTGCTTGAGTCTGATAAATGTACTCTTCTGTCTCTGGACTCAGTGTCATCCTATTCCTAGTACATTTATTTAAGTCTCTTGGCTGCATCTCTTCCTCTTTTACATTCAGTTTCCAAAATAGGTTATTTCAGTTTTACTCTCAACAACACCCTTTCTCTGCCAATTCCTTGTTGACCTTGAACCTGATTTGTGTGGGTAACAGCCTCTCTCTCTCTCTCTCTCTCTCTCTCTTTTTCTCTTTTTAGGAAATTCTAAGCAAATCTCAGTTCAGTTTATAATAAAAGTTAGAGTCAATAGAAAGTTGAAAACACCAAAAGGAAATATCTTATTTTGTTGTGAGAATGTTTTAAATATGAATTTTCCCCTTCTATATTAGTGTTATAATTCCCAACAGGAAATGATTAAGAATTCCTCCCAAACCTTTATGAATGGCCACCGACGGTAGAAATACTTCAGCTTTCCACAGTGTCCATAGACTTATTAGAGATTCAAGTCAGTGATAAGAGATACAGAGATACAATTTTTTAAAAAAGCCCTGGTCGGGTGTCTCAGTTGGTTGGAGCAACGTCCTTTACACCAAAAAGTTGTAGGTTTGATTCCCAGTCAGGGCACATACCCAGGTTGTGGGTTTGATCTCTGGTTGGGGTGTGTATGGGAGGCAACAGATTGATGTTTCTCTCTCAAAATCAGTGAAAGACATATCCTCAGGTGAGGATTAAAAAATAAAAAAAGAGATGCAGATGCAGGCTAAGCTTCCAGCTCAGGGATGTAGCATCCCCATATTTATACCCATAGCCTGTCCCCAGCCAGATGTGCATGAGTTCTCTCTTTTCTACCTCTGTGTGTCCTTTTTAAAATCACAGGGATCCTTTTAAATCTCTAATTCCAACAGGTGACAAAAGCATCTTTGCTGGTGAGCCCTTGAGGGTGGAAGAGAGAGCATGTGTGCATGTGCCCTCAAGAGAGGGGCAAAGGGAGTTTCCTGCAGAATTAGTGAGATTGAACCTGAGAGTACAGCAAGCTCTTCCTCCTGGAACCTGCACCTTTCCTCTCCCCATTTTGTTCTCCCCAGCTAGTCACCTTTACCTTTCTCTCTCCTAAGCTCTGAGGGCTCTTCTTTGCCTCTAACTTTCTAAATAAACTTTCTCTTATAAAAAAAAACTCTGCTAGTACAAATTAATTAGGCGACAAAAAGGTTGTGCCTGAAGTTCAAACTTATATTTAGTACCTGCTTTTATAGATGAAGAAAATGTTTTGAGAAAAGAGGTGAAAGGATCAGAAGTCTGCAGGAACCAGAGTATATTATTATTGTTGTTGTTGTTGTTATTATTTTGTGGAGTGTTGGGTAAGAGAGGAGGGGCAGGATCCCAATTCCATATTCTCAGCCAATGTCCTGCCATAACCCAACCTCTTTTATCTACTGCTGAATACTGTCAGAAAGTATAGAATAATTGTGTTAATTGCCAGCATTATATAATTTTTTTCTTTTTGCTGTTCTGATTGGGTATTTTTTATTACATTGCCTTCCAAATAGCTGATTCACTCCTCTGCTTTATCGAGCCTACTGTTTAGTACTTCCAGTGTATCATGTATTTCAGATATGACATTCTTAATTTCTGACTGGTCCTTTTTTTATGTTTTCTATGTCATTTTTCATGCTGTTGAGCATCCTTGTAATCATTACTCTGAACTCTATATCTGATAAATTGCTTACCTCTATTTCATTTAGCTCTCTGGAGAATTTCATTATTCTTTCATTTGGTGCCTGTTTCTTTGTTTCCCGATTTTGGCTGCCTCTTCGTGTGTGTTTCTATGTATCAGGTAGAAATGTCATGACTTCCTGTCTGTTACAGTGGCTCTATGTAATAGGTGACCTGTGGTCTGTTCATGTGTGGGATTGACCCTTAGTTTGGCCGACAGGCTCAGCCCCCAACATAGTGTGCGGGCTGCTGTGCAAATGCTGATCACACAAAGTAGAATTTGCCTCAGCACAGTTTGGTGCCTGCTGAGATCTCCCTGTGGATATGCTGCTTATGAAGCTTACTGGATCCTGCTCTTTTGTTGTGTGGAACTGGCCACTGGGTGTATTGGTTCTGGGCCTCTTTGGAGTGATTGTGGTACAGACAGATGTCAGACTCTGTGACAGGTCCTGGGCAACCTGTGTGGAGCTATCAGCGATTCGTAGTTTGTAGCTCCCTCTGCTGGGCCTGCATGCATGTGGAGAGAAGCTGTGCACCAAGGTCTGTTTTTACTAGCACCAGGCCCAGGGGCAGGTCAAAGTACCCAGAGATCAGCCTTCGCCTACAGGCTCTCTGTTACATGCAGTTACTAAAGAGCCTTGGGCTGTACTCCTCGGTAGGGCATAAGCTCTACATGGTGGGATGAGAGGGATTCCAATGGGTGGTGGGGCTATTGCTTTCCCCCAGGCTGATGCTGCATGAGGTAATGCTCTGCCTGAGAAAGATGGCTTCTGCAGTTTGGAGGAATGACTCAGCACAGGAATTCTCTCAGCTATCTCCCCAGAGCCATCAACCCCACATAACTCTAGTATGCTCTGCCCTTCCTCTGCCAGAGCCCAGGGTGAAGGAAATTTTGTGCATTGGCCCTTTAAGAGGATGTCTGTGTTTCTAGCCATCTCTTCTTGGCAGACAGAAACCCTCTGCTTTTTACAGCAATATATTTTGTGCACCTTTCCTGGTTCTGGTGGTTTGGGCTAAGGAGCTCGGCTTGGGGTTTAGATCCCACACTTCTCAGGGGGACCACTCCCCACAGCTGAGAGATCCCTCCAAAACTTCAGCTGCTGCCCGTGAGTGCCTGGTCAGCCCTCTTGTGCCTCCGTGCCTCCTACCAGTCTTGTTGTGGCCTCCTCTATAAGTCCTTGGTTATAAGGCTTCTCCCCACCTAGTTTTCAGTTAGTTATTTAGGATGATGTTTCTATACTTTAGTTGTAATTCCAGTTTGGTCCTGGGAAGAGTTGAATGTAGCTTCTATCATCTTGGATCACCACAAATTTCTGTATTCATAAAAATTATCTGTGAAGTTAGTTGAAAATTTAGATTTATTCTCCATGTTCTATTCTCCCATTTAAAGATTTTTCTTCAGTATGTCCAAGGGAGGGCCAAGGAGTTCTTACTTTATTAATAGACTAGAGGCCTGGTGCACAAAAATTTGTGCACTCGGGGGGGAGGGGGAGGGTCCCTCAGCCCGGCCTGTGCCCTCTTGTAGTCTGGGACCCCTCGGGAGATAACGACCTGATGGCTTAGGCCTGCTCCCGGGTGGCAGAGGGCAGGCCCAATCCCTAGGTGCAGCCCCTGGTCGGGCTCAGAGCAGGGCCGATTGGGGAGATGGGGCACCGCCACCTGTCATGCACAGAGCAGGGCGGATCGGGAGGTTGTGATGCCACCCTCAGTCACGCTCAGGGTAGGGCTGATTGGGGGGTTGGGGCACCGCCCCCTGTCACACTCAAGGCAGGGTCCATGGGGAGGTTGCGGCGCCACCCCCTGTCATGCACAGAGCAGGGCCAATCAGGGGGTTGGGGCACTGCCCCCTGTCACGCACAGAGCAGGGTCGATCATGGGGTTGGGGAGCTGCCCCCTGTCACGCACAGAGCAGGGCCCATCAGGGGTTTGGGGAGCTCCCCCTGTCACTCACAGAGTAGGGCCGATAGGGGAGTTGGGGCACCGTCCCCTGTCACACACAGAGCAGGACCGATCAGGGGGCTGGGGCGCTGCCCTCTATCACCCACAGAGCAGGGCCAATCAGGGGGTTGGGGCGCCGCCACTCTCACACTCAGGGCAGGGCCGATGGGGAGGTTATGGCTCTACCCCATCACACACAGAGCAGGGCCTGTGGGGGTGGGGGGAGTTGGGGCGCCGCCCTCTATTACCCACAGAGCAGGGCCGATCAGGGGGTTGGGGCGCCGCCACTCTCACACTCAGGGCAGGGCCAATGGGGAGGTTATGGCTCTACCCCGTCACACACAGAGCAGGGCCTGTGGGGTGGGGGGGTTGGGGCGCCACACCCTGTCACACACAGAGCCGCAGGGCGATCAGGGGGTTGGGGAGATCCCCCCTATCAGGCACAGAGCAGGGCCGATCAGGGGTGGGGTGCCTTCCCCTGTCAGGAACAGAGCAGGGCTGATAGGGAGGTTGTGGCCCCGCCC